TTTTTGTGTGTAGGCGAGTGTCCCCTAAAAAAAAAAAAAAAAAAAAAAACCCTAAAAAAAAAAAAAAATTTTTTTTTTTTTTTTTTTTTGAGAGGTTTTTGCTATAGGGCGCGTGCGCTCGCCAGACAGACAGACAGAGACAGACAGAAAGCAGGAAAATCACCCCCCAGGGGGGGTGGCCATGCCGCAATCCCTTCTCCTCCATTCTCCTCTCGGGATCTTGGGCACGCACGCACACGCGCCCAGTGTGAGTTTAAGCCACCAAGTCTGGGACTCGAACCGCGGTCGACTATGTGGGAGTCCAGCGACATAGCCATTACGCTAACTGCTGGTCCCAACCAATAAAATAATTCTTTAAAAAAGTGTGTGATCTATAATTAAACAACAACCAGAGGGACAATAAAGCATCCACTCCACCTACCTGTGAGCCAACACTGAGTCGTGTGTGTGTGTGTGTGTGTGTGTGTGTGTGTGAGATTTTTGCTATAGGGTGTGTATGCTCACTGGAGAGACAGAAAGGGAGAAATCACCCCCCGGGGGGGATGACTACACCACAGTCCCTTCTCCTCCATTCTCCTCTTGGGATTTTGAGCACAAATGTACACAAGCTTGGCATGAGTTTCAAGCTGCCAGGTCTGGGACTTGAACCACAGTTGGCCATGTGGGAGTCCAGTGATGTAACCACTACGCTATCTGCTGGTCCCCAAACACTGGCTCTTGGTTGATCTCCTGTCAGCTTATGCAAAGTTTCTGGTTTTTAAAAGGCATAAAAACATTGTACTTAGTGTCCAGAGCATGTCCATTCCCCTAGGTATGATTTCTCACATTCCCTCTCACTGTCTCTGTCTTTGGTTTCCTAGGAGCACATGTGCCCTAAGACAAAAAACTTCTCAAACAAACCAACAAAAAATATAATGATGATAAAAATTTCCTTAAGCTTAAGACTTAAACTAAGCTTGAAAGAATGAATCCAACATTTTAAGTCTTATAAAATTTAAAATTTTTAGAATGGGGAATAAGAAAATAATACTGTAAATAAATACATAGAAAAGACAAGTTGCCTGTAAAGAATGAAAAGTCAGGCTGAGT